AGGATAATTGTTTATATGTTTATATGAAGATTTTCATGATTGAATATTTATAAGTATTTTGGTTTCACACTACTTTGGATCAACTCAGTGATTGAGTTGATAATCGGTTGGTGAAACAAGTTAGTTATGAACTGCTAATAATAGATAAAGAACAAAAACATAATAAAAATCAGATTTTTATATATTATTTTTTAAAATTAATCTTTTTGATTAGGTCTTGGATCATATCCGTCTTTGTTTTGGTGTGTGTATATATATATATATAATTTTTAAATAAAAATCTTAAATTATTATTATTGATGTGCAAGTGGGGGGAGAGATTGATAATATTTGATTGAAGTTTACATCTTCTAATTTAAGGGGAGGATCATCGGGGTAAAAATTGGAGACATTAATCAAAGATAGTTTACTTCTTTTAATTTGATTTGAGAATAGATAGTTTTCTTCTTTTAATTTGATTGAAGTTTACACCTTCTAATTTTAAGGGGAAGATCATCGGGGTAAAAGTTGGGGACATTAATCAAAGATAGTTTACTTCTTTTAATTTGATTTGAGAAAAGAGCAGTTGGATAACGATGGTCGAAAGACTAGGGCAAGTAATTACATGAAATTTTACAATAGATCTGGACAATAATTCTAAAACATCAATATATGATAATAATTCACTTCCGACTAGAAAGAGTGAACAGTTACTTGTTGACATTTTCAAATTCACCTTCAATGATAATTTTAATGAAATATTAATAGTTATTTTCCTTATCATTAAATCATGTAAATATATTTATATAAAATACTTAGACATTACTTGTTGACATTTTAAATTACCTTCAATGATAATTTTAATGAAATATTAATAGTTATTTCCTTATCATTAAATCATGTAATATATTATAAAATACTTAGAGAAAATAAAATAAAGTGTATATAATCGATATTAATATAGAACAAACAGGTATATTAATAATAAAAGTAGGTAAAAGATAGTATCATATAGTCGCATAAGGCGACCTAGTACACAACGAACAACGCTACAAGAGTAACTGAGATTACTTCAACTAAAAGTACTATTCCTATAGATTTTTAACATCCATTTTTATTCTGTAGCTTTCATGAGCTGAGGAACTTCCATGGCCAAACTTTCACTTGACGCTGCAAATGGGACAACAAAAATAAAACATTCATCAGTTAAGAAATTGATAACCGTTACCGAAGAACTCAGTGAGTATTATAAAAGAAATTAGAGGCATTGGAACCTTTTGCAGTCGGTGCTGGGGCTGATCTGGTAAGGGATGCTGACGCCGCACTTGCCTGGGAGTCCACTTGCAAGGTTTAAGTTGATGCCAGTGATGGTGGCAGCCGCACTTTTGAGGCAGTTGCAAGCTGCTTGGCGGTCTGGTGTTGTTTGGGCTTCGCCGTTGAGGGTTTTGATTCCACTACAGCATGCTGGAGGAACAGCACCACCGCCTGGACCCTTCAAGTAAGGATGCAGGCGCCAGTTTGGATGTGACTTCCCACAATTTATGGCTCCTTGAGCCAGGGGTGCACCCACCACAGCCAGCACAACACCACCACACATGCAAGCTTAAGGGACATAAGAGAGCTAGCCATTTTGATTGATTACAACAAAACACAAACGATCTTATACAACTTGTAAGGAAAGTGCTTAGTGGGTGCTAGTGCTGATTGTTGTGTGGTTACTGGTTAGTGCTGGGTTTTTATAGCCGGGAGAAGGGTTGCGAAAAGAAACTGAGCATTAGGACAGCGTTGGGCGTTGGTGGTTGGCTCAATTCAATGCGAGGGTTATTGATCAAAATTTACAAATATTTGAATCCAGATGATCACTTACCACGTGGATTGTGGTTATTGATCTAAACACCCCCATTAAGACCGCATGAGGAGATAAAGTAAAAAAAAAAGTATTTAAGAAAACTTTGTGGAAGCTTACAAAGCACACCGAATAAATCAAGTGTGTTCCCATTTGATTATTTCTTTCTTTCTTTTATTGTTATTTAACAATAAGAATTGTCCGTCCAGCTTAGTTGGTAGAGCGCAAAGTTCTTAACCTTGTGGTCGTGTGATCGAGTTCCACGGTGGACAATTCATAATTCTGATTACCAGAGGTCTTCTACGGAAACTGCTCTCAACCTGGCGTTGGGGACAGCTTACTATCCTACCTCCCCCTTATCCCATTACATATGGGAATAGGGTCAGCTAATTTTCAATTCATTAATAAAAAAACAATATCTTCAATTTAGAGTTAAGAAACCACTGAACTCTTTAATTTAGTGACCAAATTGACAATTTTTTATTTAATGGTCAAGATAGAATTAATTTTATAATTTAATGATTAAATTGATAATTTACTCAAATGAAAAAAATAATAACCTACACCAACTATAAATGCAATCCCGTTATAGAGGTTGAGGAGTTCATTTGTTGGGACACGTTTACAATACCATTAAAACCAATCTGAGGTTAATTGAGATCTGGAATGTTCGTTAATTGGGACACATAGGCGAGGTCATTAAAATCAATTTGAAGTTGGTTGAGGTATGTACCATATTTTTAAAAACAATTATTTTGAACATTATTTTAGGTTAATTTGTTTAGTTAAAAATGAATTTACTAACCTCGCAACAGTTATTTTAATATAAATATTTTTATAAATTTTAAAAAATTTAATGTATTTTTTTTACTAATTTATCATTTTTAAATAATTTTTAACAAGTTCAATAAAATCAAAGTATATTCAATAAAGTTGATCTCAAAATTTATCCAATATTTAATCTCAGAATCAAAGACTTCAAATGCATGATATCTCTTAGAAAATTGTGACCTCTAGACATGATTTTTAATAAATTTATGTGATTTATCATAATTAAATCTACCATCAATCGATCATATTTACTAAAACTTTTAACCTAAGTGTAGCTATAATGATCTTACGCCTAACATCAACACTAAAGGTCACTATAAAACCTCTTGACCAAAACTGAGATAGGGAAGAAAACATCGAATATTCTACTCCCACTCTTCTTCCTCATGAAGACAAAAGATCTTTGTTATTGACCAATGATCACTTAATCAACGATTGCGACTTTATGCCCAAATTAAAAGGGATAAATTCCATAATTAATCAATACAATCCACAATATACTTAGGGTGGGCACGAGCCCATTCTGAAGTCTAAAACTTTCTTTAGTTATATATTTTACTGATGTCGCTCATCTTAAAATTTTATTTGTGTCAATCTCATATAAAAATTTTATGTTATTAACGAATATGTGTCCACACTCGAAAATATTTATGAATCCGTCACTGCTCGAAATTTATCTTATATTTAATCTCATAATCAAAGAAAATAAATACTTTGAGATTAAATGTCGAAAATAAGTAGATTAGTTTTAAAAGAGCGGTCATATTTCTGAGAAGACAGATAGAAAAGATTAAACTAATATTTCAGTCCTTGGGCATGATTTTAACTAAATTGAAAGAAAACATCAATCAAGCAGGAAGTGGGTGACGGTTGCCCATAACTGATTGGAAAAACACTTTATCTCCTAATGCGATCTTAAAGGGGAGTTTACATCAATAACCACAAATCACATGGTAAATGATAATATGGATTCAAATTTATGTTGTTGCATTGAATTAAGCCAATCACCAACGTCCAACGCTGTCCTATTTCTCAGTTTCTTTCCTTACCCTTCTCCCAACTTCCCAGCTATAAAAACCCTCCAGCACTAACCAGAAACCACACAACAATCAGCAATCAGCAATCAGCATTAGCACTCACTAAGCACTTTCCTTACAAGTTGTATAAGATCGTTTCTTTTTTTGTTGTAATCAATCAAAATGGCTAGCTCTCTTATGTCCCTTAAGCTTGCATGTGTGGTGGTGTTGTGCTTGGCCGTGGTGGGTGCACCCCTGGCTCAAGGAGCCATAAATTGTGGTGAAGTCACATCCAAACTGGCACCCTGCATTCCTTACTTGAAGGGTCCAGGCGGTGGTGCTGTCCTCCAGCATGCTGCAGTGGGATCAAAACCCTCAACGGCGAAGCCCAAACGACACCAGACCGCCAAGCAGCTTGCAACTGCCTCAAAAGTGCGGCTGCCACCATCACTGGCATCAACTTAAACCTTGCAAGTGGACTCCCAGGCAAGTGCGGCGTCAGCATCCCTTACCAGATCAGCCCCAGCACCGACTGCAAAAGGTTGCAATGCCTCTAATTTCTTTTATAATACTCACTGAGTTCTTCGGTAACGGTTATCAATTTCTTAACTGATGAATGTTTTATTTTTGTTGTATCATTTGCAGCGTCAAGTGAAAGTTGGCCATGGAAGTTCCTCAGCTCATGAAAGCTACAGAATAAAAATGGATGTTAAAAATCCATAGGAATAGTACTTTTAATTGAAGTAATCTCAGTTACTCTTGTAGCGTTGTTCGTTGTGTACTAGGTCGCCTTATGCGACCATATGATACTATCTTTTACCTACTTTTATTATTAATATCGATTATATACACTTTATTTTCTCTTCTTCAAATACTATATATATATGATCTAATGATAACCAAAATCATTACTTCTGATGCTTTATTAAAATTATTACTGGAAGTGAATTTGAAAACGCCAATTACGGATAGTTCACTTCTTGTCATAAATGAATCAATATGAATTGACGTTTCAAAAGTATTATTTAAACTTATAATAATCTGAACTGATTGAACTTGAGCTTTGGTCTTTTATATATAAACTTGCCTAATTGTTCTTCGTTCAAAGGAAAAGGAGTAAACCATAAACAACTAATATCCTCAAATCCACCTCCAATAACCCTCCACCTAAATTAGAAGAGAACAACAATCATACATTCCATATTGTGATACCAAAATACCCATGTAAATATTCCTCCCTAAAAATTAAATGAAAAAAATAATGCTTATCAACTCAATATAATTCAACTGAAATTTTTCACTTGATACCGTTCGAATACTCACCCCTACCAATTACTATTATTAAATTTTACAGAAAAATAAAAGGAACAAAAGCTTTAGTTAAATATTTCCTATCTAAATAGTGATTAGGATGTCTCATCCATTACAAGCCCCTCCAGTCGTGTCACCAAATCATTAGCGGAATAAATCTGCATTTTCATTTGTCTGTTTTCCAATTTTAAAGCCTCTATTTCTTTCCTCAATTCTGTATTTTCAGTTTCCAATACCTGATTCCTCTTCATCAATTCAACTTCCTGTCAAATAAATTATATATCCACGTCACCTAAAGTAATTCTAAACAAAAACAAAAAATGGATAAAAGTCGCAGACTGATGGAAAACTTACATTGCCACTTGCAAATTTATCCGAATTATGACACTGTGATGATGGCTCCACACATTCCATACGTAATCCGGAAACGCACGGCATTGATGGAAAAGCCGTGGCCTCTCCTCGCACTTCTGGTAAATGTTGCAGTGTTGACTTGTCCAAGTTAACCTCTTGTCCATTTTGTACTTCTACTTTACCAATACTACTCTCCCCGGATTCTATATGAAGTCCAACAACCTTTACCATGTAATAACTTCTATTAAGTGATTATTCAAGAGTACAACTAAGCAAGGAGATAATAACTAATTCACCTTGCATAACTCTGAAACACGCACAACTGATGGAAACTCCATGGCCTCTGTTTCCACTTCTGGTATATATTGAGATGGTGTTGACTGCTTCAGATGAACCTCTTGTCCCTTTTGTAGTTGTACTTCACCGGTATTAGTCACGTCTGATTCTAGGGGAAGAAGACCAACAACCTTTAACAGTAAAGAACTACACAATCAACTAATTGTTCAAGTGTTGAAGCACGACTAAGCAAGAAACTCGAACGAATAAGTTAACAGAATTTAGATAAAGAGGAGATAAAACTCACCTTGCTAGTAATCAATTTCTCTGATTGGCACTCTGATAATATCTCCACAGAATCCTTGTCTAGCGCCAAAGAACCTGAAGTTGATGGAATCCCCATTGTTTGCAGTTTTGGTATATTTTGTGACACTGTTGACCGCTTCAAATTAATCCCTTTTCCTTCTTGTACTTTACAGGAATTATGCTCGACTGATTCTACTTCGTGTCCACTAACCTTTAACAGTAACAAGAATATTAGAGCTTGAAAATTATTTGAGGATTTCAGGAAACAAATAATTAAGCAAGGAACTCACACCAATAATTGAACCGGGGTCTGAGGAGTTGTCTATACTGGAGCTCTCAACCTCCAATAACTCATTGATAACATCAAATTGTAACTCCTCAGCAGTTGGTTGAAGATGCCATGTTATCTGTTATACAGATTTAAAATTAGCATACAAATGCTAGAAAACACTAAAAATAGATTCATGGTTAACGTTTGCACCTGATAATCCTGCAGTTCCTTAAATCTTGCAGCGAACCATTGTCTCTGACGAGACTTGCTATTTTCCCATTTGCATGCACGGGGAAACATTGACTGCCGCTCTTTCAAGTCTGACCGAGCAAGGTCAATGTGCTCATAACACCATATCTTTCACAATAACATAACAAATAGTATAAATAAAGGATAACTTACATACGCTGAAATCCTTCATGATATCACATCTAGAACCAGTCCCCAAACCCTGTATTGTTTTTCCTTTAAATCGAGGAAGAAAAGGCAGGGAAAAGGGAGTTTGATTTGACTGGCTTCTCTAAGAATCACGAATTTAAACAAAAACAACGACTTATTAGCCTCTTAACTAGTAATCTCAACTTACTTGAAGAAGTATAAGACAACCTCCAACATATTGCACACTTGACTCTTTTCTTTTGTTCAACCACATAACCATGTCCTCGAGAACAGCTGCACCCCACGCAAAGCGACCAATATCATCCACATTTTTCAGAAAATGAAGGTAACGGGATTCCACTTTTCCATTTGCATTGGGAAAAAGAATAGTGCCAAATGTGAAGAGAATGAATGTCCTAACAAAGTCTTCGTTAACTACTTGTCCAAGCGAATCGAGTCTACTTTCAAGGGATGCAATTGTGATCTTCCTCTTCCATAAAGAAGCTCCATAATTAGTTTCAAGATTCGAAAAGGCTTGATCCTCCCTAAGCAGTATAGGATCACCAACCACATGAATCCCCAAAATTAAAGCAACGTCCATCAGAGTAATTTTGACAATACCAGGAAGCAGCATAAAACCAAGTTCCTCGGAATTCCATGTCTCCATCAATTCTACCAGCAAACTCTTGCTCAGCATCTGATTAGGTATCAAAAGCAAATTGCCAAAACCAACTTTCTTTATCGCAGTTCTTTGATCATCGGTGAGTTTGTCAACTCGCTTAACAAATGACGACAAGGAAAATCTTGTACTAAAACTCCCAGTCTGTACATTTATGGATAAGCAAGCCCTCAATTATGCACGGTTCCATATCAACAAGGGGGGGAAAAGAACACCAAGGGAAGTCAAACATAAAAGCCTCATTTAAATTCCTGTTCATTTAATTGGTGCTTTAATTCCAATTTCCGCACAATCTTTTCTTTATTGGACTAATAATAAGTTAACACACCAAATATTACAATTATACATAGATATAAAAGAAACAAGGCAGCTAAGCTTTCCAACGTTCCTCTACCTCTAAGCCAAGCAACACTAAACGAAGAATTCTTTCTTTTTCATCTTTCAAAATTAATAATCTGAATAATTAACTTCCTAGCAAAAACTTATGATTTTCCAGGAAATTTAAAACGGGCAGCGTATTTTTTGAATGGAAAATGAAAGTACCGGTTTTGAATCGAGGCGTTCATCGACGCCTAATCCTATCCCCATGGATGACCTCCTTGTGGATCTCCTCATTGTAGACCTTTTCCTTGATTTTTTTCCGGGAAAATGATAATGATTTTTGAAAACCCTAGAGATGATAGATATCAACTGTGACTGTGAGGCTTGCCAGAGAAGCTCGAGAGAATTGGCGCGAAACAAGAAAATTTGGGGGCGCGTCATTCCACGCATCCGTTCTTACTGACATCACGCTGTCGTTTTTATTTAGTTCTCTCCTGCCTTTTGTTTGCGAAAAATATTGTTATAAAGGTGTATGCTATTTTTCGTACTTATATTCTCATATTTAGTTGACAAAAAAAAATATTATTAAGTAATAATTTATTACCGATAGTAATTTTTTGAGTTAAAATTGTGAGAATGTCATTATTTTTAAAATTTTAGATAACAAATAATTCTCATTAGACATAAATACACCTAAAATAATAATTTTTATATGGATATTTCTCGATTCATATTTTTCGTGTTTTATTCAAAATTATAAACTTAATAATAATAATAATAATAATAATATACAAAGAGTTTAATTTAATAAAATATTAATAAATTTGAGTAATTAAAATTATTTCTAAAGATAATCTTATATTATATGAACCAAACACACCCTTATAGTATAATAATGTCTTAATTCTAAATTCATAAAGTATTGAGATAGTGTTATTTATTTATTTTTATATCCTGAATTTGAATAATTGTATTTATATATATATATATATATATATATTGAATTTGAATAATTGTATTTAATAAAATATATTTAATCATACTTTGATTTTAATAAAATTTGATCTCACAAATATTTAAAGAGGGTCAATTGAAAATATATATGTTTGATTCATATTGTGTGTAATTTTCATGCTACACTCTGGTTGATCTATATTATTTGATTGTGTTTATATACATGACTATTGATGGATGTAGTCATGATTAGTACGATAAAGATTGTTTTGATCTTATATAGATATAGTTGATGGACAATATTATTATATAATACATATTATATGATTGTAAGTTTTGAGCTCATAAGATTGTACATTTGTCAGGAAATATATGTTTCTCAAGTGGGATGTTGTTGGATTAAAATCCACGATTGTAGACTCATATGTATAATGTATAGTGTGTAACACTAATATCCTGTATACATCTCAAAATACAAACTAAATATGTCACATCAACTTAGCTGACATTTTATGAATATAAATGCTTAAAATTTTGTTTCGTTTTAAAACATTAATTTTTCAATTTAAAATATGTTTTATTTAGCATGCATTTTCATAAAATAATAATAATTTTTCACTCCAAAACAATGATGATTTTATGCAGCAATTTGACAGTTTCGTGTTGTTTCATAGATATATAGAATTGCCTACATACCATTTAAAACTTAAAATTTATAATATTCATTTAAAAATAAGATTGTAATTAAAATTAGCCAAAATTAAAATAATATTAAATTAATATTAAAGACCTTTTTAAAATAAATTCAATAAAGTAACTTAACAAATATAATGTACATGTCACTAATAAATCAAATATAGGATATCTTATTGATACTGTTGGTAAGTTTGATTTCCAAAAGATGCTTGGAAAACTCCTCACTTCACGTCATTTTTCTTTATTTAAACCTACACATGAAAATCATCACGCGCTAAGTAAAATTTTGTGAGGCAACAACATAACTAAAGTGATATAAAACATAAATTTCGTAAAGTATTATAACATAAAATTGTAATTTAAATAAAAACATTAAAACTTTCAAACCGAGATATTCCATCTGATTTCTCCTTGAAAACCTGAAAATCATCCTCTCATGATTTTATCAAAAATCATGTAAATCCACATCAAATATCGTAAACAATTCATATTCCTTTCATTCGTACATATTTCAGAACTTTCATTTTCATTTTCATATTCATTTATTTCATAATTCTGTCATAACTTTTATATTTATTTGTATAGTCTAATGTATATGTAAGAGAATACAAGGTACGTGAGTAGAACATAAGGTGCACACTGGGCACATCACGGTGCCAATCATAACTGAAACATATAATGCACTCCAAGTGCAATCATAACATGAACACCAACGGTGCGAATCATAATGTACACTAATATTCCATAACTGAACTGTAAAGTACTCAACTTAATGACATGCCAAATGTACATACGACTCTCAATGCAACATACAATGAGTTTATATATCACAATAGAATCATTTATTAATAAACGTCTAATAATCGTAAACGTTTAAAAATCATCATAAATATCGTACTTGGACAATTCATACCTTAAATCATTCATAAAAACTTGATAAAAAATATTATGGAAATATTCCATAATTAAAATTTATAAATTATACTTGAAAATAAAATGAGGTCGGCTTATCGCAAGTCGTCTTCGATCGTAATAATTAAATAAATAAATTATACTCACTTTGAAACATTATTTATAGGTCAAAATATAAGTCTCACTAAGCTTTAGATTTAATCCTTTTCTTTTACATGCTTCAACTACATGATTTTTTGAAATTTCATACTCGGGTAGTTTGCACTACCTTCAAAGAAGTATTACTTTTTATTAATCTACATACTTCAAAATTATTCCGTTTATACCATTGAAAACTAGACTCGAATATGAATCTAACCATATAAGGCACTCCTTCTAGTTCAATTTGTTTAATTTAAAGTGAATTTTCAAAGTTGACTTACAGAAGCTAGTTTGAGCAGAATCTGCTGCTCTGTTTTATGATCTATCATCGATTAAAAATTCATATATTTTTGTATACTCCTCAAAATCAATAGCCCATTTGTTTTAAACGAAACTTTATTGACATGAAAATCCAAACGGTATAGAGATCGTCCTTTAATCACTTTTGTATAATTTATGATGATTTTATAAACTTACTATTCAAATCATAATTTCTAAGAAGCTTTCCTTAATTAGCATCCTTAGCTTATTTCATAATTCTTGTAGCTTACCAAATGAATATGTATGCATGAATCACAATTCATATAATATTTAGGAGTACTTATTACCATAGTAACTTTGTCATTGGCTCATCGCAAGCCATGTTCGTTCGATAACATAAATATAAATTAAATATGCATTCACATTTGCCTCACTATCGAAACTTCACCACGATAATTTTCTCAATCTCACACTTTTCCCTTACCTTTCGAGTTACTTGGATCATTAAATTTATCTTGGTCTAACGGCGTCACATAATAACATAAAATATTTCAATTGTATGTTAGTATCATACTAACATAATCTAAACTTAATAATACAAAAGTCTATAAAAAATAGAATCGATACTTAATCGGTATAAAACTAAATTGTACTTCCGTCATAATTCAAACTTCTCAAAATACACATTCAATTCCACAAATTCTTATTCTCATATTCAGCTTTAATCAATTTCTCAATCAAGTCACTAATTATGAATTCTTTTTAGAATTCACATTAACTTTTTCCATTAAATTCATTATGATCATTGCACATTAATTACTAAATTTTCCAGCATCTTAATAAACTATTTAAATCCATGCTTTAATATTCCAAAACTTGTAATTTCATCCTAAACTTTCTTAGACTTTTCGAATTCAACCATTCATCTTTATAAACTTGAAATTTGATCATAACTCAATATTTAAACTCAAAAATCAACATACTAATGAAATTTCCAGCATTGCAAATTTCTTGTTCAAAATAATACCAACACATTTTCAAATTCACCAACAAGTCCTTATAATATCAACACCTTTTGAATTCCACCACTAAAATTTACCAAATTTGTAATTTGGTTTCAACCGACTTCCTAACTTAAAATTTTCAACATGCAATTATTATAAATCAACATTAAGTCCCTAAATTATCACATTTACACATTAAGATCCCAAAGTTCCCAAAATTTGCCAAATGGCCCTTTTACTATTTCAAGCTTCCAAATTTATCTCCAAATCACATAGAACACTTTTAATATCAATTCTAGACCATATGAAATTTTACAATATTTTCCCCAATTTATTCCCCTATGGCCAAACACTATAAGTCCTCTAGGGCTTGATTTTCATTCAATTTCAAGCATGAATTCAACTTCCTTGTATCAAATTCATGTTATTATAACCTTTACAACACCAAATTGTATCAAAATCCATCAATTCTCCATAAACCCTAAGTTGGTCGAACCTAATATAAACATATACACATGATTTAATCATCACACATGCTTTAGAATTAATCCCCAACATCAAAAACATAATAATGTTTCATCAGTCCTTCAAAACCCATAAACCGTAATTTTCAATCTCATGAAATAGACATGTTCACCATGTAATTTTTATATCAAATGATAGAGAATTTCATGTAGAATAATTCTTTATTTCACAACTTAGTCCAAAAATCAATCATGTGAGCTTAAAAATCAAAACAAAAATTCTTACCTTATAGCTATGGAACCCACGGCCAAGAGAGCTTGAAGATGATAAATTCTTGATTTTTCTACACTTAATTATCATAATACACTTGGCTTGATAATATAAATGAATTTAAAATTCATTTTATTCTAGATTACAATTTTGTCATTAATGAATTATGATAATTATCATATGCTATTGTAATATCTTCCATTAAAATATTACTTATTCAAAAATGAACCAATATAACTTTGACTTTCTATTTTGGCCAAGCAATTTTTGAAAATTTCATTTTAGTCACTAAATTTCCACTATTCTACCACATCTGAAAAATTACACTGATTTGTGCTAAATTTCTCTGTTCTAAAATATGGAAATAATATCTCCAAACCTCATCTAACATCCTTCAAATTCTCGTAAAATTTTGGTTCAATCCGATTATCCGATTTTGATACTGAACGTTATCGCTTTATAGTTTTTAACACAAATCCCGTACCGAAAATATGATTACCACGAAAATCCTTGTTTTAGTTCAAATTGTTCATTTACAAACTAAAATATAAAAATTACATTTTTGGTCCCTAAACTTTTACAAAGTTTATACATTAGCCATCAAACTTTCAAAACTTAGACTTTAGTCACTAACCAAAAATTGGGGTATTACACAGTGTTTTCATAAAGTATGACACAAAATTAGGTGATTGATTAATTATGTTATGTGCCATAAATATTAAAATACCATGAAATTAAAATGTAGATCTCGTAAGTTGTATTTATAATTTCATGAGATACAATATTATAAATATTTAATAGATTGACCTAATGTCAATTCTATATAAAGAGGTTGTGGTCCCAAGAAGTAGGTCAACTTGTTACTCTTATCATGTCAGAGAGTTTTATTAGAACAAGAGAAAATATTTTTTTTTCTTGGAATATCATAACCAAAGAAAGACCCAAGAATTTTAACATATTAATGCTCTTAAATGCGTTTTCGCATCTAATATTTTATTCTTCATGATTCGATATGATAAATTTTGTATTATTGATTTTACATCAATTAAGTTTTTTAGTTTTATGATTATTATAATTTGGTTCTATCATCAAGATCTTTGAAAAGATTTGACCCTTACTGGACCATTTTAAAAGAATCAGTTCTTATATCATAATAAAAAAAATAGTATAAAAAACTTTTTACTTTCTTTTTTTAATCTTGTGTTCTTACGTTCTGTTTTTATGCTTATTCTCTAAGTATCCTCTACGCATCAATCTGGTTCATTTAGATTAAAGTTTGGTTTACTAACACCACCACCAACATTTATTCCTTGTTCAATATAGTAATGTCCAACAACAAGGTTAGTTTAAGTGAACAGAGTTTGGTATTTATGGTCTAGGCTGATTTGAGACCATTCCATTTAAGACCAACTGCCCACTGTTTTTTTACATCCTTTTATGACCTAACTGCATAAAGGCATGGAACCAATGGGGATGTCAAAGTGGTTCAAATCTGAACTTTCAACCAAAAACAACCACCTTGTCTTACGCTCCACCCCAGAGGGTCAACCGGACATCATCGCCATAACCCTAAAACTAACCCCCAACAATACCAACGTGACTCACAACTCACAGGTTCACTTCTCTCTCCCCACCGGGACAAACAATGTCCTTGTTCGCAGGAAAGTATGTTTTACAAAGTAATATAAATATTTGGGTAAGTGTTCGTTTTCACCACTGATGTTTGAAAAATCACAAATCGATCACTAATGCTATCGTTTGTTACAAAATAGTCAAAGTACATTAAAAAGGCGTTTATGTGGGTGACGGAAAGCTGATGTGGCATATTAATCTGATTTTTTGACATCATTCGACCTTATTAGACCGTTTTGACCTACCCTTCTTCTCAACCCAACCCCTTCTTCTTCTTCTTCTTCAACCAAATCATCTTTGGTTGATTTTGCATCATCTGTGACAACCTCTTCAACAGATTGTTCCTTTTATTTTAGATAAAAGAACTTCAAAAAAACTGATCTTATCTTTGTTGTAAACATGCCTATATCTGGAACTCACACCCGAGTCAAAGTAACATAGTTCCTAGATTTAATAAGGTCCGTATTTTTCTGGTGGGATATTTGCATCGCTTTTAAGTTTTAACGCTTCCGAGTTGGGGGCTGAAGCTCTTTTATTGTATGTGATGGTGATATATTGAAGGTATAATAATCCTCAACAGTGCTTTCTATAATTGCAGGCAAAAGCTCTTATAACAAAGCTGACTGAAGGGAAAACTAAAGCAATTCAACAAAATAACAAGCTTCGCCAAAAGCTGGTGAGTCGGACTGACAATGATATATTCAATAGGAATCGTAGTAAATTCGTCGACCCTTTATTTTTCGCTTAATCGTCTCTCCGTAATTGCTTCTAGTTATTGAAAATTTCGAGCCTTCCGTTTCCCTTTTACATCTCAGACCTCAACATGATCCCTACTCATCTTTTCATCAAACCAATATGATCTTGTTGTTAGTTGCTTATGAAACGCAGTTAAAAACTTTCCATCACCTGATAGATTTGTGCTTTCGATATACTTGTATCAGACCGGTTCATCATGTTCTGCTGGTCTATACGAGTAATGCGGAATTCTCACAAGTAAAAATCACAAATGTTTAGGAACTGTTGAAGCGCGAAAGCAGCAAAAGTGGTGGCGGTCTGTCGTTCATGCTCGATATGTGTTTATCCATTCTTTCACCACCGCAAGCCGACCAAATCCCGTCGATTAAGTTCAACAACCCCGATAGCATTACTTCACTCTCTTTTTTCTCCTCGTTTTTTGATATTGAACTAGCCAGACTGGACCCAAGAAGAATCTAAGCAAACCTAGAAAATAAAATTTGGAAAGGGTAAGGGATTAAGTTACCTTTGTTGATGGTAATTTCAAAGACCAATAGAGTTGTAAGACAGTTCATGAAGAAGAGAGCATAAGATGAAATGAAGGGAAAAAGTAGAAGAAACGAAATGAAATGAGAGTTAAAACTGAGGGGGTTGTTCTGCTAACAAAATGTTGTGTTGCTTGAGCCATTGATAATTTGATTGCATAGGCCAGGTGGTTTAAGTTTTGTTTATTTCTTTGCAGGGAACTATTTTTGCTTTCCCCTGGTTTAGGTGTGCAGGACTGGTTTGTGCAGTTTTGATTTGGGGAGGAAGATATTTGTATTGAATTTTTTGAGGTTAGAATGAAAGCTTAATGCATTCAAAAATGGTAAATTTTGAGTTAAAAAGACAGTATGAAGATGAGAGAATGGAGATGGAAGAGAATGATAGGTATAATGGTTAAACAATACCAAATCAGTATTTAACGTGCCACATCAGCTTTTCGTCACCCACAGTCACCCACAGTGGCGGTCGTTAACTTGTAGTGATCATTTTATAACAAACGATAACGTTAGTGATCGATTTGTAACTTTTCAAACAGCAGTGGTAAAAACGAACACTTGTCCAAAATTTAGTGACCATTTGTGTAGTTTACCCTATAATGTACTCTTATAAACGGTTTATGATTTTCTTTCAAAATCAGAGTAATTGTCATGGTTTTATTAGAAAATAATATACATTTCAAAATTTTGAGGCAAATAATTTATTAGTAAAACTGGAGTTTGGAATAATAAAATTATAGATTTTTATTCTATTTCATTAGACATTCAAAACGTTATATAATACGTTTAAAATGGTTAATTCAAACATGCAAATGTTATTGGGAAAATTTAATGCTTAAAACACTGTGTGTGGAAAGAATTTAAAAGTGAGTAAAAGCTAAACCAATTTGACGGACACGGATTACAAATCAATCCCTTCCAAAAAAAAATATTCAGTTTTGTTCATGTGATAGAAAAAGATTGCTAGATTCTCCGCATGAGTGGTCCATCTTCTATTCTGACATTTCTTTCTTCTGGAATTCTCTTGAAACCTCCGAATCTTATTTAATGTATTATTTCTAACATTTTATACCTAATTACACATCACCGTCTAAGAAGAAGAAGTCCGTTCATTGATTCCATCATTTCAAGGACAACTTTAATGGGGTTTTGGAGTTGGGAGATATTTTGTGGGCAAAAGGATGATATTCATACATGTAGATATCTGCCCATGGTGATATCAAAAGTTACAATCAAACAAATCAATAAGTGGCAGCAAAGCTCGACTTCCCACTATAGATGAAGCTCGTTACCCAACCCTTTTGTCATTGGCTTCAATCACGCTGGAACTACTCTGGTTTACCAAACAACTGTTTAATGAAAGGGAACATGATGGGATTTGGTACCCTTTATCGAACTCCTTTTAAATGTCACCCCAATCATGATTAGGCAGGCTAACCCGTCACAATTATTTCTTTAACTCCGAATCTTCCACTTGTATCTAACTATATATCTCTTGAAAACCTGACACCCTTAACCACAGCAACCCACTTGGTATAAATTACCCTTTAATCTCTCTTTCTCCCACTGCACAACTTAAGCATCTTAGTGTTGTAGTTTTCTGGCTTGAGCAGCCATGGATTCTATACCCAAAATAGAGAGAATCAGGTAAGGCAACAAGGCTTCAACTTTGCTTTTGGTGTTTTCATATCCCAATCCTTTTGGTTTTTCCTTTTTTGGGTTCTATAGAAGAGGCATGTTTGGACCATTTTATTGAGAAGCTGGGGAATCCTGCAGGCGAAATTGGTCCCGGATGTTACTTATCTTAGAAACAAAGAAGATGCTCTCTTTATGTCTTTTTTCCTAGCTGGAATCTTTACAACATTATTGTACTACTGTAAGCCTAAAGGAACCTCCCCCCACACCTTTTGTTCTGCGTTGTTGTCTGTCTGCAACTGTGAATATGCATCGCCGCCTGCTCGAGACGGAGGTGAGCTTGCCGCCGGGAAACGGAAACATAACCCATGATTCTTACATTAGTGAGACGAAGTTCGACACCAACATGGTGGTCATATTGGCAGCTCTTTTATGTGCTTTAATCTGTGCTTTGGGGTTGAACTCCATAGTCCGTTGCGCTCTACGTTGCAGCCGGAGTTTTGCCTCGGAAACCCCGGAGCAAGAAGCAGCTCGGATGGCGACTACGGGGCTCAAGAAACGAGATTTGAAGCAAATTCCGGTGGCCGTTTACGGTGAAGGCGTGATCTTCCCGTCGACCGAGTGCCCCATCTGCCTGGGAGAGTTCGTGGATGGAGAAAAAGTTAGAGTGCTGCCGAAATGTAAGCATGGGTTCCATGTGAGGTGTATTGACACGTGGCTGCTGTCACACTCATCTTGTCCGAATTGTCGGCACTCGCTGCTTCAGCTCAGTGCACCGAAAACCGAGTCATCCCAAGGACTCAGTGCCGTAAGGCAACCAGAAAACGGCTTAGGTGATCATCAAAATGGCAGTGTTGCTGTGGTTGTCGAATAGTGGAAGTCATGAAATACGATTTGCCCATTCGTCTAAAAACTAGAGGTGGATTTTAGAGCTTTACCGTACTTGTTGTAGCTGTTAGATTCTTCTTTTACATAGTTACGGTGAAGATAAACCGTTAAAATATCATCTTGATCTTCGGAGAAGTAATGAAAGAAAGATTCAGTGAATCAACTCGATTTTTTTTTTTTTTTGCATGTGCACATGGTTTTTAACTACTGTATTGGAATTATTTAAGGCACTGGCCCCTCTTGTTTTGCACTTTCCGACTTCCTTCCTCGCTTCACATGGGGAAATATTGACTTAAAGTCCCCAAAGATTTTATATATTTTTGGGGAATCGTGTCAAGACCCGTATTCACTATTCAGTAACTTATAAATACATACTACTAAAATTTAATTCGATTCAAAATTTTAATTTTACTTAAATTTTGAGTTAATTCAAATTTTAAATTTGATTTTTGAGTTTGAATCTAAATAAAATTTATCAATTTAAGAAATAGAATTTGATTATTTTATAATTTAATCCTTTGATTTTCACATTTCTCTAATTTCTTCTCATTTTAGGGTTTTTTTATCAAATTTGAACTACACATTAAACCATTGTAGAGTATTAGAAAGTCAATTCTTTTTTTTTAATTTAATCCCTTAAATTTACATAATTTTCATATTTCTCCAATTACTTCTTCATTTTAAGTTAATTTTTCATCAAATTTAAATCACATGTTCCACTAACACAGTAGATTACATATGTGACTTTAAATTCTACTATTAAAAACTCTATTTATTTACTTTTTTTAATTTAGTCCTATTTTATTCAATTTGAATCCTTTGGTTGATTTCTTCGTAAATATTTGATTACCATTAATTATTGTGACTCCTTTGTATTTTCATCAATAATTTATACTAAAAATCCATTAACTAAAATTATCATTACAAACATATTTTTAAATTTAGATGTCATTTGATTTATTAAATAATATTATAAATTTATAAATTTTACTTACCCGTATGAAAAGAATATAAAGATATATATATATATATAAAGATATATATATATATATATATATATATATGATTAGATAAAACATTTTAAATTAAAATCAATATGTATCATAATATTATAAAGAAATGTAATTGAATTTAAAGAGAAATTAGGTTCCACTAAAATTTAAATCACAAAAGATGTTTCATCAATTTGACTAATTCAAAATTTTTTAACTTGACTCGATTGAATACTCGTCTTTATTTATGAATTTTCACATAATTATGTATTATAAATATTTTTTATGTAGGAAATATATTTAATAAAATATTTTTGAATATTCTTGGATAATTAGAATGTAGTATATGTTCAAAATCTTTCTTAATTATTGACAATAGACAATAAACCATGCAGATGAAAGTACTTAAATCTAAGATCTCTAAGAAAAATAATACTCCTTTAATTATCGAGACCATTTTATAGTTTAATAAAATATTTGATCGATGGCATAATATTTTTTTTTTAGTAATATGGGGTAAGTATAAGGCAGTATATGTTTAAAGATAATTCTCAACCATTTGATATTGAACGCTTACGGTGACAAAACTTGGTGATAAAGTTGTGGGGGCAATTTAAAACTTTTAAAAATTCAGAGGTTTAAATTAATTTTTTAAAATTTTTGAAGGGTTTAGTTTACATTTTCCCCAAAAATTAAGGTCTAACTAAAACTTTTGAAATTTTGAAAGGCTTTATGAAATTTTTTAAAAATTATGGGAATGAGTTTAATTAAGAAGATTCAAAAATTTTAAAGTTTAACCTAAATTTCTAAAAAATAATTGAGGGGCCAATTTTTTTTTTAAATTTTAATGGTCTATATTGTAATTTTTTAAATTTTGGGGGGCTAAGGCCCACACTAGCTCCTCTTGCCTTCCCCTGCTAAATGCTCATACCTTAGTATTTCTAATATTCAAACTCGAGATTTTAAAAAATAACAATATTTTTTTTACTACCAAAGTGACTTGGTTAGTGCTAATGGTATGATACTAAATATATCATGAGGGGCACGAAAATAGGTTTGTTTAGAGGTTTAAATTCAATATTTATTTAGTAGCATGAAATTGAGTCGGTAAATTTTATTTTAAACATCATTATAGACAATTAAGATTTAGAGTAAATTATCTATTTGGTAATCAATATATTATTTAGTTTTTGTTTTAGTTATTTAACTATTAGTTTTTTTAAATTATACATAATATTACGTTTTTGTTCTATTTTAATCACATATCATTAAAAAAATAATGGTAATTTTGATGCGTCACCATGAGATAATGTAACGTCGACATTAAAAATAAAAACATCACATCAACATCACCATTAATTTTAAATATAACTAAAATGTAACATTAAGTATGATTTTGAAAAAATAATAGTTGATTGAATATAACAAAAATTAGAAAATAGTTAAATGACTAAGTAGATAATTTACCCCCAAGATTTAGTGTTTATCATGTCTGAATTAATTTGTAGGTTGATTTTTGGGTAAAGTACACAAATGGTCCCCTGACTCTAGTGTACTACTTTGTTCAGTCCTCTTACTATTAAAAATTATAAAATGATCTATTGACTATATGGTATTATTTTATTGAGCCCACCAACTATTAAAAGTTACAAAATGTTCACACGACTATTCATATGTTCTCAACTCACCATTTTCTATTAAAAAACTAGCAATTGTCTGAGTTATACGTTAACATGTTGATTGGAATATAATAAAAGTTGATCATAAAATCGTTTAGTTGTATTTTGTGGATTGATTCTCTATTTATATTATTATGTCGTCGAGCTAGTGTTTGAAACACTATGTTGTCAAGCCATTGCTTAAAAGGGCGATGTCAATTCTAGAAAGCTATGACAGTGTCAATATGCATCATTAAAATATGATTTTATTATATTTATAAAGCAAGATAATGTCAAGCTAAAACAACCATATTTTTTTAACAAAAATGATGGGTTTGAAACATACCATTTTGTAACTTTTAATAACAAGAAAACTCAATAAAATAATATCATATAATAGATGGATTCAATAACGCAACTTCCTATAGTCGAGCGACCATTTGTGTACTTTACCCTAGATTTTGTTTAAATAAATATTAATATTGATTATCTTGTGGGGATTACTTAATACTTAACACCATATCTAGGGATATGGGTGTTAAAAACCGGGTACCCAGTTCTCCCGGTAGTATTTTTGTCTACTCGTGACCCGACCCATTAAGTTCAGGTACTCGATAGTTGGGTACCCGTAAAATCCTGGTACCCATAAAATCCTGGTACTCACGTTTTCAATTCACGAGTACCCAATTTATTTTTTTAAAATTTTAATTTATTTTTTAAAATCACATAGGAAATACATAAAAGTTTAAAAGTTCATAATACATGATCTACACACAAATATTAGTGATTTGAAGTTAGTTTTAAGGATAAATAATATTTGGGTATATATATTTATTAAAGTTTATTTCTAAAACAACATTAAAAATATAAATATCAATCGTGATTTTTTTACAAATATCATATTAACAAATTAATAAAAATATCTTTTAAAAATTTAAAACTTAAAAGTAAATAATGCAAATCTAAGAAAAAATTAGGGATATAAATTTAATTTAAAGGTAAAAATATTAAGAAACTAAAAAATATATAATTTAAACTATATATATATATATATATATATATATATATTAAAACTAGTTGGTCGGGTATCCAATTATAAAAAAATTGGTCTAGACACTATCTAATTATCTGAAAAAACTGTAGACACTCGTTTTTGTTCGAATTTTAAAAATATATTATTTATTTATTTATTTTTATTATTATTTTTTTTTTTATTTTTGCAGGTTTTTTGTTCGACCCCTATTTCCTACAAACTACCCACTAAACCACTACTCACCTACATGACCAACCCCCACCCACCACCTCGCACGTCTAAGCTCATGCATGTTTGAAGGAAAGTGGGAATCTGGGGCTAGTTAACTTTAAATAATGTTGAGGGACATACACAGAGGGGGAAGGCAAAAAAAGGAATTGAAGAGGGAAGATAGGAGAACTGAGAGCCCAAAATTCCAAAACGTTCCTTCTTCATTAAACCCCAATCTCCTTCTTCTTTTACGATCGTTCACAGTCGACAACCCATACTCACATCCAAATCTATTTCTCGAGGTCCTCGGCTACTATCTTCTGCAACTATGGCAACAACTATGATTACGAGGAGGCTCCAAGCTCCTACAAAGCAGAAATAAGTGTTCGCAGTTGATACTCTCCAAAACCATTCAATCACAGAGGAAAAATATCACAGTCATGGCGACTCTCGATGTTCTGCAAAGAGAAGCCGACCTTCTCTCATCTCCCTTGATTGAGCTTCTCGAGAGCATAGCTGGAAAAGTTACGAACATGTGTTCTCGAATATGGTTAAATGATCAATTGTTGATGGAACTTGTTCCTCGCTTGAATGCATAAAAAATAAGAGGCTTATTTGCTCCACCGCCATGGAGTGATGCTGTACCACCATCGACATTTTGCATAAACCAATGAAAAATGCTTGAGCTATATCCCATTTGTGAGGTCCATGGTTTCAAAGATCATGGTATTTTGTTTCGACACTGAATTTTAATCTCATGTCTGGAGTTGATCTTGGATGAATCCGCCTCTGCAATTTCATACAAAGAATGAAGTTAAGTCCTGATCCATAAAACTGAAGTATAGGATATATGTATATCTATGTATCGACTAGTAAATCTCAAAGACAAATTTCTCTTCTGCTTCTCTTAAATTTTCTTGGATATGACATGAGATGTTACTCTGATCATGGTAGTGAGAGCTTGGTTGAACAATTTTTTGGGTGTTTGTGTACATGTTATTAAGCGATTTTAATGCGATGCAGATTATTCTGTCTGGTTTAGAAAAGAAAGTGAGGCGTTGATCATGTTTTATTAATCAATCAATGACAATGTAATGTATGGCGTGGTTTATGTCTACTGTTTATGTATGTATATATATAATGCACATATA